AGAGGGAGGGCAATATGGTAAAAAATTGGAAGAAGTGAGCAACACATTTTAAACTTGGTGGCTAGTCGTAATTCACATGATGATATAAGTTGGCAATTTGTTTAGATTTTTCCCACTAAACAGCAGAGCTAATTATTCAAATAAATAAAATAAACCCAACTGTCGAGGCGACACTTCCACATTGAATCAAAAAAAATAAAAATTAAATCTCAAAAGAATGGGAATAGCAGACCAAAACAAAACTGAGAGGTGTGCAGAGAGACTCACAGACATATGTCTTCTTTCTGTCAAATTATTCAACTATCCTCCAAAAAAAAAAATTGTGGCATGTGTAAATAATGGTCTCAATTACGTACATTGCATAAATAAAAAAAAATTAAAATAAAAATTGAATGGATTCATCCAAGACATCAAGTTAGGTTAGATAAGACTCATCATCGATCCATCCATTTCATAATTATTAGTTTTATTGATCTGAAAACATTATATCAAATGTTGGTATCAAAAATCTCTGATACTTTAGTCTCTTTTGAAAAGATGAAAAAAATCCAACTTATTAATTTATTGACTTATTTAAATCATATTATATTTTTTTTTATTTTTTTATTTTTTCATAATAAATTTAAAAAAAAAAAATTGGTTCCCAAAATAAGCTAAAGTTAGCATCAAATTAGACCATACTATCATCTCATATTGCACATTGAGATCATCAAAACCAAGGTATATTTCATGAACTTCTTTCAGGGAGTTAGGTTAAGAATGTGATAGATTTCAATCATTTTTTACCATATTTTAGGGTCTTAAACATTTTACTAAGAACAACTTCAACTCTTTATCAATTTTATACACTGGATTTTACATCTATTTCAGACCCACAACTTTATACACTGGACTATGAGAACATGGAGAATATCAATTTTATACACTGGAATATCCAGATTTTTTATATATATATCTATCAAGTGAAACCCATTTGAAACCCATTTCAAACATCTATCAAGTGAAACCCATTTCAAACCCAAAATTTTTTAAAAATGAAAATATCCAGATTCAAAATCTATTTCAAAATCTATGAAAACAGAGTGTATAAACTGGGTTTATATATTCAAAATCTGGGTTTATGTATTCAAAATCTGGGTTTATATATTCAACTGGGTTTACATAGATTTTGGGTTTACATATCTATGAAACAGATTCAAAATCTATTCAACAGTTAAGAATGTTTCAAAATCTATGAAACAGATTTTGGGTTTACATATCCAACGTTTATCTATTCAACTCATTTCAAAATCAAAATCTATTCAAACACCCACATGTCAAAATCTATTCAAACTCATTTCAAAATCAATCTAACCAAACACCCACATGTCAAAAATATCCAGATTCAACTTTACAAACCCACAAAAAATTCAGATTCAAGCAAAAAAATATTATGAAATGCAACTTCACAACCAAACCCACAAAAAATTCAGATTCAAGCAAAAAATATCATGAATTCAAGTTGGAAGTTCTAGTTTACCTTGCAAGGGGAGAGAGACGAAAGAGGAGGGTGAGAGGAGAGGAGGTGGTCGGTGATGTCGTCGAGAGAGGATGGCACACAGAGGAGAGGTGGTCGGTGGTCGTCGGCGTCGCGATGGTCGGTGGTCGTCGCACAGGATGGGCTCCGATGCAGGTAGGGAGAGAGAGAGAGAGTTCAAAAATTGAAATGAGAGAGAGAGAGGAGATGAGTACCTGTGATGGAGAGGAGAGAGGGAGAGTGATTTTTCTGACCATTAGGTTTTGATGCCGTTGATGCTCAAAGAGCATTTGGGCAGGAAATGAAGATATCCTGACCCTTGAAATTTAGATGAGACAATTTAAACCGTTGGATCAAAATATATCTCACATACATTTTATACATTTTCAAAAACTCTTCTCCCTTATTATATAGATATATATATATGACTTTCATATTGCACTACCATACATAATATTGTTATGACCGACCATGCCAGTTTCATTTATTTCACTTATATATATAAGTAATAAAATCTCATCCAAGATGATTATATTCTCCAAATAAATTTGCATTAGTAGCCTTGATATGTTAATTGATTAACATTTAAAAATTACATTCATAATTTTCATTTGATATTTGAGATATTGGAGAAAATTAACAAGCAAAAACAATGACCATAACTTTTTGATATTTTTTTCCTAATTTTGTACTATCTATTTTATTTTATTTTATATAAATATGTTTGTTTAATGTTTGGTAAAACTATAGAATTTTTTAGTTTTTCCAAAGAATTGATACAAAATTGGTAGTTTTTTTTGTTTTTGAGATTAGATGACATCAACATAAACTTGTGAGAATCCTGGGAAGAAGAGTCACATTATATTAGGATACAATTTTGGAATTTGAAAATAAATTAGGAATTTTTGGACTTGTATGTTTCAAAAACTATGAAAAAATATTTAAAATCTATAAAATGATAAATAAATTTGGTACTTGATGTTTAATATTTATAATGTTTTGGATAAGGTAGTTTTGTTTCTATATACATAAAAATATGAAACAAGAGGTAAAAGAACCTTTCATTAGACCAACTATGTATATGTACTGGTATGAAGATTAAGTGTGTTACTTTGTTACAACTTAATTCCTTGTTACGATATATGTCAGAAGGAATAAAAATAACAACATGAATTATGTAGATAAGTGAGAAGGAATAAATATAACCACAGGAATTAACAAATTCCTTGTTACGAGATATGTCAGAAGGAATAAAAATAACTACATGAATTATGTAGATAAGTGAGAAGGAATAAAAATAACCACAAGAATTATGTGAGTCTCTGTTATGTGGTGTAATTTTAGATTATCATGTACATGTCAGTTGTCAAATCCTCATTAAACACTTGTTGGCTACATATTTTGTACAGGCCAATCATAGTTTAACATGTGGCTCGAAAAGGGTAATTTAGGGATTTAATGCAAGTCTCCAACCAGCGACAGACACGTGGCAAGTCATATTAGTAATGGTGGGTCTGTGTCCCATGGAAGCAGTTAGAAGGCGCGAAGTGGCGTAGCTCAATGGTTACTCACAATTCAAATTCAAATTAAAGAGGGAAGCCTAACTGCAAAGAAGGTGTTGTGGGAGCAGATTGTTCAAGGCCATAGCCAGAGATCGTGGAAGTGCATTTCAACAGTTGGAAATCCACTTCGACAGTTACCATTGGGAAGTATAAATAAAGGAGAAGGCCCCAGAATGGAGAGACCTAGACTCAGATAAAAAAAACCAGTTTATTTACTTCTTATTTCCTTCCAGTTTTACATTTCCAGTTCTTTACATTTTCAGCACTTCAATTCCTATACTGTACTTCATTTCCTAGGAATAGTTTCAAGTAGTCGTTGCTGTAAACCTTTTCAAAGCTGTATCATTTCATTGTAAGTTCCTATTTACTCAATGAAATTTAGTGTAACGCCCTCAAAATTAACCCATTATATATCATTGACATGCATTATTTAAAAAAGATAATTTATTAATTCATTCATCAGAGTATTACTAAATAAAGCATTACATGCAACATCGAAATAAATGCCCTACAGGCTTACATCTTTCCAAGCCAACACTTGGATTAAAAAATATGAATTCTAATCTCAATACAAGAAAAGCCCTAGGCTGGAATGTTTACATGTACTAATAAATAAAAACTATTAACTAAAGGTAGTCTTCTTCAATCCAGAAGCCAAACCCTCCCAAGCTAAGTCCTTGGAGGTAGTTTATCACCTGAACCTGAAAATGATGTTCCCAAAAAGGGCGAGCCACAGCCCAATAGAAATATACTAAACCACATATAAGCAATGAATAAAGCAATAGCATTCAACAGATGGTTAACCAAAATAATCAATTACTTCATTTTACAGTCTCATGACACTATTGCCAAAGATACGTTTTACTTTCCAATTTTATCAACATGGCTCAGAACCTGGCCAAACTTACTATTTCAGACGATCGGCTGGATATTCGAGAGGATGTCCAAGTAGAGGACCGGATAGACAAAAAATTTAAAAACTGTCTAGTTTACCAAACATGTTTTCAAAATATGTTTTGAAATTGATTTGGAATCATGATTGAAAAACTTAAATCAAACATAGCATTAAAATGTAATGGTGAAATTAGTTTTAGAAAGTTAAACCAAACACGGTCTACGATTTTGGGATCTTACAAAACTACATCGTATCGGTTGATCTGCGCAAATCAGCCTATTTTTTACGAGTTATTTATGATGATAAAAATATTTTGAATTTTTATAAATAAATTTTTTTTTTTTGGTGCAATACGAAAGAGTTTACTCTGAAACTCATGCTGATTCAAAGCCCTTGTGTTTGAGTTAATCATTTTTCACTTTCTCTATCTTCGTGGTTTAATGTGGTCATCCCCATATACTTCAAAAGAAGTAGTGAAAAATGTGAAGCTATTCTAATAAGACAACTTAATTCTTCTTTGTGCAGGCCATTTTATAATTTAAATATGATATTTTACCTTATTAAATTATAAAATTTATTTTATCATTTTATAACTATTTTAATAAAAAAGAACTCGATAATTTATGCCAAACGCGGGTATAACCTAGGCTTATTTTGGGAAGATAGTAAAAAGTGGCTTTTTGGCTTTTAACTAAGCTTTTGACTTTTTTAGACAAATGATTTGGGAAGTTGGTAAAAAGTGACTTTTGACTTTTTTTATTAATATTTGTTTATGATGTCAAATCATAATAAAATGACTAAACTACCTCCTATTTATTTAAAATATTTACAACTGAACCTATGTAACACATTGTGACCCATGAGGGGTAAAATTGTAATTTTACCGTTGGCTAAAAACCAACTTGTCAAATGAAAAAAAAAGCCAAAAAAACCAACTTTTAACTTTTGCTACTAACCAAAAAAAAGTAACTTTTACCAAGTTCCCAAAATAGCCCCTATTAAAACTTTTACCAAATCTCTTACATAACTCAAATAGATCACCCAAACAACCCCTTAGCGTCTATTTTCTTCGTCGGCGGGGTTTCCAGACATAGGTTAGCTTTGACGGTGATCGATGAGGATGCAATCTAGGGTTTTGTTTGGTAAACTTGATATGCCCTAGAATATCAATCTATGGCTTGAAAGGTAACCTAGTTTGCAATTCAATTGTTCAATTTACTTCTTTTGATGTTGTAATAGCTTTTTCTCTGATTCTTGTTTGTAAATTTGAGTTGAAATCGTAATTGAAGATTCTGGCAAAATTGCAGATCATTTTTTCAAGAATGGGTGAAGTTCCATCTCTGTATACTTTATGTATGGTTGCAATTAAGAAAGAAATTCTTAGCGGTAATTTTTCGAATGACTATTCTCTCTCTTTTTCTCTCATTTTATATGTTATTTAATTTTATTTTTCTTAAAATATGGTTGCAGATGATGATACTCTTCCACCGCATGTATATGAAATTCCATCGGATTTATTTGATAGCTTGCTGACATTTTTACCTCCATTGGCCTTGCAAAAGATACAAGAACAAATGTCAGTTTAAAAAACTCACTCTAATTTCCTCACTTAATTACGTATACTAGTTTTTGTAAAGATAAAATTGATTCATTTATACATCAGTGTACATGAGTTTTATATTTGTTTGGAATTGTGTCACAGGTTTTTAATTTAAATTAGAATGGATGTGATTTTATTTATTTAGGTGTTATGACTTTGCACTGCTAACATTTAGTCACTAAAGTTCATCAGTTTTAAGATTTTTTTTCCCTCAACCATAAAGTTTGTATTGTTTTTCATAAAGAGATTCTGGCTTTGTGGACCATTTAGTCATTAAATCTGCTGAATGTACAATTTGAAGGGTTCTACAATTTAAGTATTTCATATGGATGTCCTAAATTAATCGTGTAGGAGAGGCCACATAGCGGTTTAGCAGTTGTGTCTGTTATGTTGCTACCATATACAAGCTTGGTTTAGTAGTTTTGTCTGATGTAGTTTTGCAGCTGGTCAACATTTTTAAATCTCATGCTACACGTCCTGTGCTTGGTTCCTATTACTTGCCTTCTGACTTTGTTTGTGGAATATTGGCTAAAGGGCTCCACTTATTTTCGTTTCTTGTTTAACCGGGTAACATATATTCACTTATTTTTCTTGCATTCTAATTTTGTCTTCCTGTTCTAATCAAAACACTTAAAGATTGAACAGGGAGAGACACTTTCAGTGTATTTGTTCTTATCTTGGGATTAAGAAGCTCCAATGGGTGACATTTTCTTTCTTTCCTTTTCATGTTAAATCTTTTGAAATTATTGACTACTTTGACTGTTCGAGC